TACAATTGATAAATTCATGTATGTAAGTAATATATATTTAGAAGTACTTTTTCTTCTATTTCTTTCCTTGAAGCAATAATTTACATTAGAATATCATAATTATTTTAAATATTAAAAGCAATAAAATTGAGCACCATAAAATAAATAATGAGAAAAAAAACAGTATGTTTTTGAAAGTTAAATATTTTCAGAGAAAAGGTGTACACAAAATAAAAAAGTGAACACCCTGAATAACTTTTCATTTAACAGTCAGCTTTTCCTGTACTAAGTGTCAATTTTAATGGGTTCGTGAGTCAATAATCAATAATTTCATTCAAAAAGGAATTTTGTGTTCAAAATCTTTCTAAATTATAAGGCAGGTGTATACTTGCATGGTGTTACAATATGTATTTTGATGAGTCAAAATTTATCAATGAAATGACGAAAACAAAAACTTTTCAAGATAGAAATTTTAGTTTTAAAAGCACATTTCTACAAAAGTACTCAAGTTGCTTAAAATATATGATTTGCATAATTTTTATTTTAATATCTTCTCTTTCAGGATTTTGAAAAATGTCAAGCATTGTTTGTTGCAGTTGTTATACTGAAGTTTTTCAGAACTCTTCTATGCTATTCCAAGTGATTCTATGTTGACAAAAATATTTATTTCTCTGTTGTCTTTATTATTTTTAAAATTAAATGTAAATATAAATTTGTGTAATATTTGTATTGTTTATGGATATGTCTTTGTATTTATATATCTTTGTATAATAAAATGTATGCTAGAGACAATGTTGATTGTGTATTTAACTACTTTCAGTGTACATTCAATTCATTACATGAGATAACCAGGTGATTATATTAGTACATTTTTGTACAATACACTTATTTTTTGCTAAATTTGCTGCAAGACAAAATATAATCAGTAAGACATGAATTAATGATCAATACCGCACTAAATCATCATCTGTAGACAGCTTCTCAATATTATCGGCTGTAGGTTGTATCTATTTCTGTATAGGGTACAATAGTATCACTAGATTCCTTAAAAACGCACAGCTTTTATTTTGAAACTCTATTTTTAACTTTATTATATATTTATTTTATGTTTAGTAATTTATATACATATATTGACTACTAGTTAAAACTTGAACAATTACTTGTGAGATACAGAATTTCTATAAACCTGGACAGCAGTTTTATTACTCTGCTTTTAAGTAGAATAGCACAGTAAAGGAAAAACTATTATGTATGTTTACCTAGCTTAAAAATGTATTAATAAGTTTAACCCCTTCCTTCTCGCTCCCGTGAGAATGACGGGGTGAAATTTTGCCCGCTATTTCTCTCTCCCGTGATATTAACGGGATGGAGTGTTCAGTAGTAATGCGCCAATAAGAATAAAACTAATTCATTTCTTTTGCAAGGAAAACATTGTATTTCTCATTTTACACACCTGATGGCAGTAACAGGATAATTTTAAGGTAATTGTAGAGTAAGTGTAATTAGTTTATTTTAAACTAGTTGCAGCACTAATCTAATATAAATACAAAAGCCAAGAAAATAGGCACTTTTATGATCGTTTTCATGAAAATTAACCAATCGTTAAGGGGTTAAACATGGATTATGCAGGGCACATCTTCTGGACTAAGGGGTTGAGCTGTGTAAAAATTTTCTTTACAAAAAGCAATTTAAATGAAAAAGTTACCTAAAAATATTTTCTTAGTTCATTTGTTAATAATTTATTCAAATATGTTATTTAGATGGCTAGATATTTATTTAGCTAATTGTTACCCCTGTAACTAGGTCAGTGACTTCTAGTAAATCTCAATAGACTGAAAGGATGTGCTGGCCCTCAATTATTGATTCATTGATTACCCTCTNAATTGGATTTGAGGGTTTTAATTACCCCTGTAACTAGGTCAGTGACTTCTAGTAAATCTCAATAGACTGAAAGGATGCTGCTGGGTGCATGTAAATTGCTGGCCCTCAATTATTGATTCATTGATTACCCTCTGCTGGAAAATGTCGGGCAATCCCTCATCCTGCGCTTCTTAGACGACAAATGCTGTGTTGAATACTACTGGCCAGCATTAGTACAGTTGAAAGTGACTTAGACCCGTCGCTTTAGCTGCTGGCAACCAGCAGTTTTGTGGTGCTGGACCTATGTATTTGTTTTTCCTGGGATGGAACTTTTCTTTCTTATTATATAATACTAACAGCGTGATAGTTATAAAATCATTTTATTTTCTTGAATTCCAATTGCTCTTTGTAAGATTACTTAAAAATTATTTCTTTTTAAAAAATACATTTTATATAGAGGAATATTTGCTGAAAGGAGGCACATTTCATGATGACATTTAATTTACCATCACTGTACTATCCTGAGTTATCTCAGAAAATGAAAAAAGTTAAATATTAGTCTTCGTATGATAGTTTTTAAAACAAGGGACAACACAAAGTGATACTTTCGAAACAACAGTGAAGTGATACGCTATTTTTTCCCCTTCCTTCTCGCTTCCGTGAGAATGATGGGGTGAGATTTTGCCCGCTATTTCTTGCTCCCATGATATTAACGGGCTGGAGTGTTCAGTAGTAACGCGCCAATAAGAATAAAACTAATTCATTTCTTTTGCAAGGAAAAGATTTTATTTCTTATTTTACACACCTGACAGTAACAGAATAATTTTAAGGTAATTGTANTGTTCAGTAGTAACGCGCCAATAAGAATAAAACTAATTCATTTCTTTTGCAAGGAAAACATTTTATTTCTTATTTTACACACCTGATGGCAGTAACAGAATAATTTTAAGGTAATTGTAGATAATTAGTTTATTTTAAACTAGTTGCAGCACTAATCTAATACAAATACAAAAGCCAAGAAAATAGGCACTTTCATGATTGTTTTCATGAAAATTAACCGATCGTTAAGGGGTTTAAACATAGATTATGCAGGGCACATCATCTGGACTAAGGGGTTGAGCTGTGTAAAAAATATTTTTCTTTACAAAAAGCAATTTAAATGAAAAAATTACCTAAAAATATTTTCTTAGTTCATTTATTAATAATTTATTCAAATATGTTATTAGATAGCTAGATATTTATTTAGCTAATTGAATTGTATTAAATAAAAATAATTGGATTTGAGGGTTTTAATTACCCCTGTAACTAGGTCATTGACCTCTAGTAAATCTCAATAGACTGAAAGGATGCTGCTGGGTGCATATAAATTGCTGGCCCTCTATTATTGATTCATTGATTACCCTCTGCTGGAAAATGTCGGGCAATCCCTCATCCTGCGCTTCTTAGACGACGAATGCTGAGTTGAATACTACTGACCAGCATTAGTAGAGTTGAAAGTGACTTAGACCCGTCTCTTTAGCTGCTGGCAACCAGCAGTTTTGTGGTGCTGGACCTATGTATTTGTTTTTCCTGGGATGGAACTTTATTATCATATAATACTAACAGCATGATGGTTATAAAATTATCTTCTTTTCTTAAATTCCAATTGCTCTTAGTAAGATTGCTTAAAAATTATTTCTTTTTAAAAAATACATTTTATATAGNCTCATGTGGTAAAAATTGGTCCTCTCCAAAAATCAGTATTAGAAAATTTTATTTTTCTAATACTGAACTAACTCTTTTCTTTTAAAGTTTTCAATCCAATGTAATTAGTTTTAAAATGAATAAATTAAATTAATTTTGTAAAGAAAATATCCTTGATAGCAATTTTCTATTTGTATTAAGGAGTGACTGTGCTTTTAAGTATTCCATCAGTTCATATACCATTTATTGATATTAAATACTTTAAGTTTAAGAAAAATTATTTTGAACCAATTTAAGTGAGAATAATATTACTTTTGAAATTATTGGTTAATGTACTTCTCAGAGCCATCCCACAGTCAACTGATCGTAAGACTTGTACATCACCAAAGTCTAGCTTCACTGAGCAAGTAGGTAACCACTTTGATCAGCCTGAGAAGTGACCTTATTAAACTGTTCTACCATAATGTGCTAAACTTTGTGGGCAGATGGATCAAACTTGTGATGGCATGTTTCTGAACCATCTTCAGTGATGTTTCCCAGACTGTCTCCCATTATGCAGCTCTGGTGCAATGTAAATATTGTGCTACTTCTCAGGGCCAAGATTTAAATTTCAGTTGGCTGTATTAGAACAATCTGACCAGTTTCTGTTGAACAACTATGTCAGCTTTTAAAATATTGGTTAAAGTGGTTTAAAAGCAAATGTTTCTCAAATCGATAATTGAAATGCTTCTCCCTGTTATTTAGATCCTATGTTGTAAGGACTCGAATAATTGTTGTTCAGGATCCCAAAAGAAAGGAGAGAAATGATTTTATCATTCTCTGATTGAAACAGGGTTGCCACTCCACAGGAAAAGCCTGGAAAATACAGGGAATTTAAAAATCACCTAAAATAACTAGGAAAATGCAGGGAATTTTGATTTTTTCTTTTCAAACTGGGAAAGTACGGGGAATTTTGTTTCTTATTTTTGTCTTTTAAAAAATGGTGATTCCTCAAAGAGTAATCTATGGGATATTTCCCCCTTATATTTCAGCTATACTAAATTATTTATCTTCATGTCCTGTGTGTGCAGGGCAGGGCTCTTCATCAACAGGTCGTATAATAAGTCCTTTTCCACATAGTCTTTCTCTTCAGTCGGTGCATGAGCACAAATCTGGGTTATGTTGTAATGTCTTCCTTTCAGTCTTATTTTACAGAGTCTCATGCCCTGAAAGTCAATGACTGACTCTTTTGTTCACAATGAAGCCAACACCAAAATGGTGTGATTTGTCATGGCAGCTGTAATATACCCTGCATTCCCTTTTTTTTTTAATCAAAAATGCCTTTTCCCAACCATCTGATTTCCTGAACTGCAAGGATATTTAGCTTATAGTCATGGTCTAGCTTATTGCAAGGTTATCCCTTCCCATGCAGAGTCGTCTAGGTNAACTGAGGAAAATATAATTTCCAGCTTTATTTTTTCAATTGGTACTTTTTTTTCTTCACTAAATGTTAAGTATCAATGTAACCGTTTTTATAATAATAGATTAGTACACAATTGTATGTCAACACATTATTTATTACCTTAAACTGTCTGGAATTTATTATTAAAGGGTTACTCTTGCGTAAAATTTGCTATCGTGGAAATTCAGCTTTTTTGCGTTTTGGCTAATCTCATCCCTGTAATATGAGAAACTNTGTCAACACATTATTTATTACCTTAAACTGTCTGGAATTTATTATTAAAGGGTTACTCTTGCGTAAAATTTGCTATCGTGGAAATTCAGCTTTTTTGCGTTTTGGCTAATCTTATCCCTGTTGCGTATATCTTTATGTGGGAATGCCGTGCTTGTGATGAACAAATTTTCCGACACAGCAATGTCAAAACTTCTCTGTCCGTTTCCGTTAGTATCGAAGTGAAGGCTTTCATCACGGGATCTAACAAATCCTTCCCTGCCGATCTTAGCATTGAAGTCCCCAATTACCGTCTTTATGACCTGTGTGTGCAGGGCAGGAATTATAGCTCTTCATCAACAGGTGGTAAAATAAGTCCTTTTCCGCATAGTCTTTCTCTTCAGTCAGTGCATGAGCACAAATCTGGGTTATGTTGTAATGTCTTCCTTTCAGTCTTATTTTACAGAGTCTCATGCTTATAACCTGAAAGTCAATGACTCAGTCTTTTGTTCACAATGAAACCATCACCAAAATGGTGTGATTTGTCATGGCAGCTGTAATATACTCTGCATTCCCTTTTTTTTTTTATCAAAAATGCCTTTTCCCAACCATCTGATTTCCTGAACTGCAAGGATATTTAGCTTATAGTTATGGTCTAGCTTATTGCAAAGTTATCCCTTCTACTCATCTTTTATTTTGTGGATAAATACTAGAAATAAATAAACAAATTATTACAAAGGCTAAAAAAGAGTATTAAATTTTACATTATTGACCGTTACTTTGTGGCGACTATTGCTCAACCTTTGTTAATCAAATAATGAGTCAAACCGACTCAGGTTTCTAATCCAAGGGCTGCTAATGATGAAAAAATCTCACTGGCCACATTGATGTCTTCTTTGTTGAATTTGGATATAATATAAAGATTGGAGGATAAGCGATTCTTCCTTTTCCCGAGGTAAGCTGGAAAATAAATGGAATTAATAATAAATGTTTACTTTTGCTGAATGTTACTTTTTTCATTAATGTGTTATTTAAGTGTGTTTATTGTGAACCAAATTTTTCTTTCATCTGGTGCATGAAATTCTGGTGAATACGATGCTTTTGTAGCATTAATCTATAAGCTTTGTTCTTGGCTTCTGTAGCCTTTCAACAATCATTGTCAAATCACTCATTTCGGGTCCGTCGTTCCAGATCTGGGATAGCTTCACGTGCAAATTTCAAAATGGTATCCTTTATTGCGTACCAGTCAAAAGTGAAGCCTGATTTCCCTTTTTCTGCACCCATTCAGTTGGATAATTTAATTTTATATTCTTTAAAAATGTTTTGATCATTTTAGAAGTGTCAGGTTTGAAATCTCTGATTTCTCTCCTGTGATAGAAATTCTTGCATAATAGGAGTCTGACTCTGGATATCACATGGACATTGTCATGTCAACATTCGCTCCTCTAAAACTTCTCACGTCCGTCACATTGCTACGGTGTCTCGTGTCCACAAGTATATGATCCATCTGGTTAAGAGTTAACCCATCAGGGAACCGCCAAGTATGCTTGTGTATATCTTTATGTGGGAATGCCGTGCTTGTGATGAACAGATTTTTCGACACGGCAAAGTCAAAACTTCTCTGTCCGTTTCTCTTAGTATCGAAGTGATGGCTTTCACCACCAGCATGGGATCTAACAAATCTTTCCCTGCCGATCTTAGTATTGAAGTCCCTAATTACCATCTTCATGTCCTGTGCAGGGCAGGAATTATAGCTCTTCATCAATAGGTCGTAAAATAAGTCCTTTTCCACGTCGTCTTTCTCTTCAGTTGGTGCATGAGCACAAATCTTGGTTATGTTGTAGTGTCTTCCTTTCAGTCTTATCTTACAGAGTCTCATGCTTATAACCTGAAAGTCAATGACTGCCCTACTGAGTCTTTTGTTCACAATGAAACCGACACCAAAATGGTGTAATTTGTCATGCCAGCTGTAATATACTCTGCATTCCCTTTTTTCATCAAAAATGCCTTTTCCCAACCATCTGATTTTCTGATTTGCAAGGATATCCCTTCCCATGCAGAGTTGTCTGGGTAAAACAGAGCCGGTATATGCACATTGTTGAGGTTTCTGAACTGGAGGTCTTGTACAGGGTGGGGTAGTTGGCCCCATGCCCAACCCCTAACCTAGAGGACCAGTTCCCTGATATAATCCCCAGAGGCAGGGTGCCCGGCTATACCCCCCGGATGCTGATGCCCTAGATGACCCAACTCACAAAAACACTACGGTAATTGAAATTAAAAAACTATGGCATAAAGGTATTACTCTTAATTGAACTAGAGCTCATGTAGGGACACGGGGTAATGAGGAGGCGGATCGGGCAGCAAAGGAAGCCATCAGTCTCAACCGAGTGGATTTTAGTGCCTAACTTACCCAAGTACAGGTCAAGTCGATAATAAATTAATATGTCATGACACGGTGGAAAAGCGAATTTACAAACAACACTAAGGGACGTCAAACTTTTACTTTTTTTAAAGATCCAAGGGTCACCAGACTGCAGGCAGATTTTTACCTAAATCAGGCCATGGCGTGTTTGGTAATCATCAATACCGCCTTTTCAGGAAATCCCCAAACTGTAACTTCTGTGGTGAATTTCAGGATATTAAACATCTATTACTTGATTGCCCGGAATTCCAGGCGTGTCGTGGCACTGACTTTCAAAATAATAATACTGAACATCAACTCTTTTCTTATCAGGCCTGCAGAAATACTATCAAATACATCATGAAAGTGACCCTAAAGAACATTTTAGACTTAACGTAAACTATAATACTTGAACTATTACTTCTGAACTTTGACTGTCCCTCCATCCTGCCAACATTTTAACTTTTTACTTATTGATTTTAACTATCGACTTTTAAAACTTTACACCTGCTTTTATCATCTTATTTATCTACACTACTATGTTAGTTTTTTATTTGTTGGGATTTATATGATTCGTCAATTTAAAGTTTTACTATTTCACCCAAGTTTTAATTTCCCATAGATTTTAAAATTGCTCATTTTAACATTTGATGTTAAATTACTTTTAGAACTTTGCTTGTTTTGGGGGTTTTCCAGGTTTTAAATTTCTGTTTTGTTCTATAGCTTAATATTTATCTTACTCGCCCGCCATGTTCATGAGCTGTTGCCCTTTATTTTACGTATCTTGTGCATTTTATGATTTGTATATCTTTTTGGATTTAAATAAACATTTACCTGTATGCCCTAAATTGAGGCAGGTCAGGGTAAATTTTCATATCCCCGTACCCATTTTAGTCGCCTTTTACGACATGCATGAGCTACATTGAGACTATTCTTTCTCACCAGGTCATCGCGCAGGTGCTTCCTATTATATTCTTTATTTTAGAATAATTAATAATAATTCAATGAAATATATCAATTATATAATAATTGTTATTTATTTATTTATTAGAAAATTTTCAGTCTTTTGTTCACAATGAAACCAACATCAAAATGGTGTGATTTGTCATGGCAGCTGTAATATTCTCTGCATTCCCTTTTTTATCAAAATTGCCTTTTCCCAACCATCTGATTTCCTGAATTGCAAGGATATTTAGCTTATAGTCATGGTCTAGCTTATTGCAAGGTTATCCCTTCCCATGCAGAGTCATCTGGGTAAAACAGAGCCCGGTATATGCACATTGTTGAGGTTTCTGAACTGGAGGTCTTTTACAGGGTGGGGTAGTTGGCCCCACGCCCAACCTCTAACATAGAGGACCAGTTCCCTGATATAATCCCCAGGGGCAGTGTGTCCGGCTATACCCCCGGACGCTGATACCCTAGCTGACCCTACTCGCAAAAACTCGATGGTAATTGAAATTAAAAAACTATGGCATAAAGGTATTACTCTTAATTGGACTAGAGCTCATGTGGGGAGGCGGATCGGGCAGCCAAGGAAGCCATCAGTCTCGACCAAGCGGATTTCACTGCCCAAGTTACCCAAGTACAGGTCAAGTCGATAATAAATGAATATGTCATGACACGGTGAAAAAGCGAATGGACAAACAATACTAAGGGACATCAAACTTTTACATTTTTTAAAGATCCAAGGGTCACCAGACTGCAGGCAGATTTTTACCGAAATCAATTTCTTACAGGCCATGGCGTGTTTGGTAATCATCAATACCGCCTTTTCGGGAAATCCCCAAACTGTAACTTCTGTGGTGAATTCCAGGATATTAAACATCTATTACTTGATTGCCTGAAAATCCAGACTCGGCGTGGCACTGACTTTCAAAATAATAATACTGAACATCAACTCTTTTCTAATCAGGTTTGCAGGAATAATCAAATACATCATCAAAGTGACCCTAAAAAACATTTTAGACTTTACGTAAACTATAATACTCGAACTATTACTTCTGAACTTAGACTGTCCCTCCATTGTGCGAACATTTTAACTTTTTACTTATTGATTTTAACTATCGACTTTTAAAACTTTACACCTGCTTTTATTATCTTATCTATCTACACTACGATGTTAGTTTTTTATTAGTTGAGTTTTATATTATTCGTCAATTTAAAGTTTTACTATTTCACCCAAGTTTTAATTTCTTATAGATTTTAAAATTGCTCATTTTAGCATTTGATGTTAAATTACTTTTAGAATTTTACTTTTTTGGGGGCTTTTCCCAGGTTTTAAATTTCTCTTTTGTTCTATAGCTTAATATTTATCTTACTCGCCCACCATGTTCATGGGCTGTTGCCATTTTTTACGTATCTTGTGNATTTTAGCATTTGATGTTAACTTACTTTTAGAATTTTACTTTTTTTGGGGCTTTTCCCTGGTTTTGAATTTCTCTTTTGTTCTATAGCTTAATATTTATCTTACTCGCCCACCATGTTCATGGGCTGTTGCCATTTTTTTATGTATCGTGTATTTTATGATTTGTATATCTTTTTGTAGACTGCAGGCAGATTTTTACCTAAATCAGTTTCTTACAGGCCATGGCGTGTTTGGTAATCATCAATACCGCCTTTTCGGAAAATCCCCAAACTGTAACTTCTGTGGTAAATTCCAGGATATTAAACATCTATTACTTGATTGCCTGGAATTCCAGACGCGTCGTGGCACTGACTTTCGAAATAATAATACTGAACATCA